CCGCTGCGCGTCCACCGCCCGCGACAGCGCCGCCACCGTGCCGCTCAGGGCCTGCAGGGACGAGCCGTCGCGCTGGTGCCGCTCGTCCAGGCTCACCTGCGCCTCCTCCAGGGCGCGCGTGGTGTCCCTCTGGCCTTCGCGGATGACGTCCAGGTCGAAGTAGAGCTTCTGGCAGTTGCAGTCCTTGACGTACTTGATGAGGTCGGCGTGGCCGCCCTGCAGGTGCTGGAGGGTGAGGTTGAGCTCCAGGAGCTGCCGCTCCATCTCCTCCTTGTTCTCCTCCATGATCAGCGATTTCTCCATCAGGATGATGCGCAGCTCGCGCAGCGCCGTGTGGTTCACCTGCAGCTCCTCCAGCTGCCGCTCCACCTTGCTGATCTGATCGAAGGTCTCATCGGACTCCGAATACAGCTCCTTGATTTCATCCACGTGCTGCGCCAGCGTGGCCCTCATGTCCGCCAGGGTGCTCTGTAACTCCTCTTCCCTGCGGCCGGCGGCCGTGTGCAGCGCCGACAGGTTCCTCTGCAGCTGGCCCAGCCTGGCCTGCAGGCTCTCCGGCTCTGGCCTGGCCCCTGCCCCTGCCCCTGCCCCTGCCGCGGCCGGGACCAGGCTGCCGTTGGCCCCCACCGGCTCCTGGGCCTTAAGGAACCTCTTCAACTTGGCGTCCACGTCCGCCTCGACCTGGGAGAGCGACTGCTGCAGGGAGAGGTGCTGGGCGTGCATGCGTTCCTCCACGTCCTGCCGCAACTGCCCCACTCTCTGGGCGTTCTCCTGGACCTTGCTCTCAAATTTGGCCCCAAGCTCCTGGAAGTCAGCCCTGGCCACCGAGCTCTCCTGGACCCCCTTGATGGCCTGTTGGTTGGCCTCCACATCAAGAGACAGGTTTCTTATGGCTTGGGAGAGGCTGTGCAGACTTTGGTTGAGGCTCCTCCACATGGGGCTGAAATGCACCTGTAGGAAGGCGTCCACGTGGGGCAGTAGCACTTGCTCCAAGGATCTGCCAGGCGCCTCTGCAACAGAGACACGCTTTTACACAGCCCTGCAGGAGCAGACACCCCTCCCCGGGCAAGGACTGGGCGGGGGTGGGGGGTCCTCTGAGATTTGGGCCTTCCTCTTGTCCCCTTGGGTATGAGCAGGCTCTGCCTCAGCCCCTGGAGCCTGCTACTCACCAGGCTCTGTCTGATTTGCCTCGATCGTGGCAGCTGTGAGATTGCTTGCCAGGGCCTTCCACTGGCCCGGGAGGCCGTCTGCCACCTGGTGAATGTCATTCTGGAGATCTCCCAGCAAGTGTTCCTGCCGCTCCATGATGTTGCTGGGCGCAGCCGCCGGGTGGCCTGAAGACACATGAGAGATAAGCGTGGAGGTCTAACTCCCCAGGCCTGGGCAGATCAGGAGGTACAGAGAAGGAAATTTCCAGGTTCAGATGGAAATATCAGGGAGGTGTGTGCTGATGTCCTCCAAGCAGGAGCGTAGCAGCCTTTAGCTCCAGAAGGGGAAATGCATGCCCATGAGCCCTACCCCCCATCCCAGCACCCATAGCAGACATGACTAATCAATCACGGCACACTTTCCTCCTCAGCTGTGTGGACATGGCCTCTCAACATCATTTGAGGCAGCCCTTGTCAAAAGATAAGGAGTTCACCACATGATGAAACTCATTCGCCATCCCGAACGTGGCCCAGCCTTGAAAGGTCTCACAAATGGTGCCTCTTGGTGGTTCTGTGCTGACTCTAGACCAAGGATAGTATGACTTCCCGGCCCCAGGAGGACACATGTGGGAAAGCTTCTTCCAGGCCATGGGATCTTGTGCCATTCAAGGGTCAGGGAAGGTGCCAGATGAAGCTGTCCTCAGAAAATGGAGTCAAGGAAAAGGGTGTGGTGCTTAGCCAGCAGGTAGTAACAGAGGGCCCTGTGACTCTGGCCTCCTTGGTGTGAGGGTAGGCTGATACAGAGCCACGGAAGGGCCCCTGCTGAGTCTGGGCACAGAGTTTTCCTGAAATGGCACCACCCTATCAGAAGAGAAAGGGCCTGGGCACATGGGTTCCGCCTGCCTGCCTGCCTGCCTGCCTGCCCTTCCTGCACCTTCTAGGGAAGCAGCATACCAGGTTCAAAGCCGACTGGCCCATCCCAAGGCTCCTGGAGGCCATCACCTAGATCTTCAGGCTCAGGGATTGCCGTGGGATCTGCGGAGAGGAGGCAACAGATAGTGACCCCACAGGTCAGAGGAACTGCCTGACCTCTGGGGTCAGAGGTTGGAGGGGAGGGAGCCCTGGGGAGCCCTACCATGGTGCTGGCAGTCAGGGCCCGCAAAGCCGGGGCAGCACCTCCAGGCCACGGAGGCCAGCACCTTCTGCTTGACCTGGTACACCGGCTTGTGTGCCATGCGATACCTGGGGAGAGAGGGGCCAGCTCAGTGACTCCAGGGTGCGCCAGCGTGGGCCTCGGATGGACGGCCCGCCCTGCGCCATCCTGCCCCCACTCACATGACTTTGACTTTCTGGCAGTCCAGAGTCCCCTGTGGACATGGCTGCTGTGAGTGGACGAGGAATTTCTCCGTTTTGCAAGCAGCTACAAAGGTGACCAGCCTGGACTTCTGGTAAGGGCACCAGTTACTGGAAAAACAAGCCAGAAGAGAGGGCTGCCGAGCCACGCCCAGGTCCCACAGGACCCTTCCTAGAGGTCAACAGTGATCCCAGCGCCCCACCCTGGCCTCCCGGCCCCACCCAATGCCCGGGATTCTAGAATCCATTAGCCTGAGAGGGGAGCACTCTGCATTATTCATCCCTCGACTCCAGGACAAAAGCTCCGCAAACCCTCCTGCAAGGGCATCTACTCCATGCCTTCCAGGAAGGCCCTCGAGCAGGGGCCAGCACAGAGAGGCTGAAGAGCAGCCTCCAAATCACACAGCAAAACGACCCATGGAGCTAGGAGGGCCTCTCACTGTTTCTCAGCTGGAGATGATAATACCCTCCTCCAGGTGTGCGGATGAGTATCAAGGGCCTGGCTCCTGACAAGTGCTCAGCGAACCCTGCTGCCCTGCCCCATCACCACTCACACGTTTCCTCAAAGGGACCAGGCTGCAGGGAGGGCACCTGCTCCCTGGCCGCTCCCCGTGATGGCCATTATGGAAATGGGCTTTCAAACAGTTGTGGGAGAAGGCAGCTGAGCTGAGCAGTCCCTTCTCTGGGCAAGGTCCTACAGGGTGCTTAGGGGGTCACATTCAGCATCCTGAACACCAGAGGGGTAGCCTCTCCACCTCTGCCCTTTACCAGTGTGTGTGGTTGCAAATGCCCAGGAGCAGGGGTGCTCATGGCTGGCACAGCCCCAGCTCACTGATCCAGTGACAGCCTTGAAGGGCTCAGTACAATAGGTCAGAGGGTCCTTCGCCTGGTAATCAGCTCCCAGAACGGAGCTCTCCAGAGTTGCAAGCGGCAATGACTTCCATGGCTCGGCTCAGCTCAGCACCTCCTCGGGATTGGGTGCTGGGCTAAAGCTCAGCAGCACTCAGCGCCAATATGGAGGAACAGACCTTCCCCCCAGGGTCCCCAGGAAAAAGCAGGCAATCTCAGATGATGTGGAAGGTGCTACTGGGGAGACTTTCAGAAGGAGGTGATAATTTGGCACCAGGGGCTGTGATAGAGGTTATGGCCCGCTGAAATGCAGGGGCTGGGCCAGGGAAGGGCTGCAGAGGTAAGGGGAAGCCAGGCTGTGGAGGCCTGAGTGCTAGCTGAGGAGCTGGACCTTGCAGTGAAAGCACGGAAAGTGTGTGTGTGTGGGGGGGGGGGGCTTGAGCAGTGGAGTGACATGACAGAGCCACCCTGGTTCCTGGGTACAGAAAGGACAAGAAGGGGCAAGGTATAGGTAGGTGGCTGTGTCAGGGATCTAGGTGGAAGATGCTGGCAGGTTCCATGGGTAATGGTGGTGGGTATGGAGAGGAATGGCCACACTTGTCAGATATTAGGAGGCAGTGTTCAGGGCCTTGGAGATGGAGTGGCCATCAGGCTGGGATCTTACTCTCTGGAGCTGGTCTCTGTACTGGGGCTACCAGGCACACAGGGATGGGGTAGGGCAGGGGGAAGGATTGACGGGGATTGAGTGACCATATCTGTTTTGAAAGCTGAGGACCCCCAGCCTGATTTCCCACTTGGCTCCTAAAAGCCTGGTGGGCAGGTTTTACCCTCTTGGTAGCAGACTGAAAAAGCTTGTCAGGAAAATGACACCACTCAAGAGGAAAGAGCTAAAAAAAAATAACATCAGGGGCTCCCCTAGTAAAATAGCCCCAGAACATATTATGACAAAAGAAGTCAGAAAGCTCCATCCGTACAGCCAGCTTCCAATCAGCTTCTTAGTCTGTCTACTCTCAAGTGGGCAGACGTCCAAGATGACTCCTGAGAAAAATCTCTAGTACAAAAGAGGGAGGTCAAAAACAAGCAATTGGAAAAAAAATCAACTTGGACAAACCCAACACTGTGCAGAGAAGAGAAGTCCCTCAAATTTGTAATAATAGCCCCAGATCTATAAGAGAAGTTACTACAGCCAAGAAAGAACAGGAAGCTATTTTAAAAATGGAAGAACATTCAGAGAATGAAAAGGACCCTTGGAAATTAAAAATATAACAGTAGAAATGCAAAGGAGATTTAATAGAAATGTTAGAGGTTAGAGAAATTTTCCTAAAAAAAGAGCAAAGAGAGAAAGAGAAAACAGGAGAGGAAAGATCAGAAAAATAGATCCTGGAAATCCAGCATCCAAATAATAGGAGTTCCATAAAGAGAACAGAGCGAGGAAATCGTTGATGAAAAAAATCAAACAAATATTACAGAAGTGAAGGGCTTGAACCTCCAGATTCAAAGGGTCCACCAGTTACCTTCAATATGATGGAAAAAACTCAGTATCATCATGGAATTTTAGAATTCTGGAAATGAAAATAATTCTATACTTTCTAGAGAGGAAAATCAAGACACACACACACACACACACACACACACACACACTAGCATTTAGAATGGCTTGAACCCCTCAACAGCAACACTAGAAACAGTGGAGAACTGCCTTCAAAATAGGGAATGGGGGCACCCGGGTGGCTCAGTCAGTTAAGTGTCTGACTCTTGGTTTCGGTTCAAGTCATGATCTCAGCGTTGTGAGATCAAGCCCCGCACTGGGCTTCATGTTCTGCATGGAGTCTGCTTGTCCCTCTCCCTGCTCGCACTGCCCCCCTCAACCCGCTCAAATAAATAAATAAATAAAATCTTTTTAAAAAAATACAGAAGGAAAACATTTCCAATTTAGAATCCTATACCCAGCCTAACTATCAATCAAAGTGAAGAGAGCAGAATAAAGACATTTTCAACAAATCAGATTTCAAAACCTTGCACACCCCAGGATCCCTCATCAGGGAGCTACTAGAACAGTGGTTTGCAATCTTGCCATCAAATCTTCACATCAAAACCACTGTATAGCACTTCATAAAGAAGAGCCTCTGGGCTCCACTCCAGATCAATGAAGCAAGAGTCTCTGGGATTGTGGCTGAGCATCAATATTTTAAAGTTCTCTGGGTCATCCTAAGTCACAGCCTAGGACAGAGTACCATTGTGCCAAAGGTACTCCACCAACACAGGCCAGAGAACCAAGCACGAGGAAGGCACGGCCTCAGGAGACAGACGTTCCAGGAGGGAGTCGGGGGGAAGGGAGAGCCCAGTAGAGTGGTGGGCAGTGGGTGTGGGGCCAGTGTCCAGACTGGAGCACAGCTGCTCAAACACCTGACACGGATGAAAGGGGAGAGCAGATGTGGACAAGTGGCCAAGAGTTTAGGATTGAGTAGTGACAGAGACACAGGGAACGAAGCCAAAGAAACAAAAAAATGAAGACAGTTGTTTATTCCAGGGAAAACCAAAAATATGAAGTGTGCGGGGCGGGGGGCGGGCAGGGGGAGGGAGGATTCATAGGTTTTTTTCGAGTCTTCACTCTGAGTAGCATACATAGTCGTATAAATGTAAACACTCAAAATGACAGTATGGGAGGATGATGGATAGGCAGTGTGTGTGTGTGTGCCCACGTATGCACGGGCACACATTCTTGCACGCCTATGCATGCATGTTGGGGTTGGAGTATGGAGTGGGAATGAGAGCTGAATCACGGATAATGCTACGTCCCAAGAAGTAGCAATATAAACATGTTAGTTAGAGACACAGGGGTAAATGCCAAAGGATTCACCTAAAGAGTTCAAAGCATTGCCTTTGGGGACCAGTAGGGGCAGGGCCTTCTGACTGTCTCAACGAACTTTGCAGAAGGTTTGACTCTAACCCAGAGGGTGAGCACAGTTTTTCCGTAAAGGGAGAGAGAATAAATATTTTACACGAAACTGACTACATAATTTGTAGTGTCCAGTGCAAAATGACAATGTGGGACAACAATAGAGATTAAACCAAGTGTGGGGCCCTTCTGTGGGCGTGCCCTGTGTGACGGCTCAGGTCACACGCCCATGGAGCTGGCCCTGACTTTAGGCAAAGAATGTTCACTCAACGCGGAAAGAGCGACTGTGACAGTGCTAGGCCCAGAGTTTAGGGACCACGGGTGAGATGGCCACCTGCACAGACTGTTCCAGGACCAGAAACTCCAGCCTCCACCCTACCCCCACCCTGGGCCCCGTGGAAATGCTGGAACATGGGCCTGTAGAAAAGCGTTTCTCTAACCAGTGGTTCTCGGTGGGGAGGGGCGCGGGGGGGGCGGCGGGGGTAGGGGGGAAGGGACTTCCTCCACTGGGAGGGTGGCCGTGAACCTGGCATCTAATGCGCAGAGACCGAGGATGCTGCCGAACACCTCGCAATGCACACAGCACAGCCCAGCACCCCCGCGGCCAAGAATTAGCCAGTTCCAAATGCCAGTAGTGCCGAGGTTCAGAAACACCCACTCAAAACAAAGTTCTGTTCATTGCTCACCCTCTGAACTGCTGTGGAGGGTCCAGAAGGCCTGTGCCCAGGCGAGCTGGGTCTGGTCCAGCCTGCCAGCCAGTGACTGGGACTTTCCACCTCAGGCTCCTGGAACCAGAAGTGGTGCGGCCCACCCTTCCTGCCCAGGAACTTTCTCTCCTGACCTGCCCAAACCTCAGGCTCCAACTATTCTCCCTGCCCACGCTCCCCCCCGCCCAACCCTTGGCAGCCCTATCCCCTTGGCATAGTACAGGCCGCTGGCCCAGAAACCCTGGGAACATTCCTGACCTTTGCTTTGGTTTCCTCCAGCTCCTGGCAGCTGCATGCTGGCCCTCTGAGCCTGAGCCCCCAGCCCGGCTCCCCGAAGCTCCCATTGTTCTCACTGCGTCCCCTTTGCACCTTCATCCCCTGGGGCCAGCCTAGAAATGAGTGCAGGGATCCTCCAGCGAGTTTGGGCTGCCCTGGGCCTCTGACATGGCCCCCACCTGAGGCTTTGCCCCAGTCAGGAGAGTGCTAGCCCCTTTGGAGCTTCTAATGCAAGCTCAGAAGCTTGGGCGCCCCCCTGCCGTCCCCCTTCCTGGGCTCAGGGTGACCGTGAGCAAGGCCCTTCCCCCCTCCCCAGTCCTGGCAATGTGGAGAAGATTGGCACCTTCGGCCCCTCCCTTGGGACGGAGGGAGGGGCTATGGGGGAAGCTGAGCCAGCTTCCAGCAGGGAGAGGGCTGTGAGCTGGAGCCCCCCGAATTATGGATGTGCCACTGCCACTGTCCACTGGGACACTTCACTGCCAATAGAGCCCCCCTCGGACTGTCCCTTCCATCATTCTGGGGAAGGAGGGCGTGTTCTCTGCACCCTTGCTTTCTGAGACCTCGAATGCAGCCTTGAATACGACCACTCCAGGGGAGAATTTGCGGGGCTTTGTCTTTGAGCTGGAAAGGGGCTTTGGCAGAGGAGCCTGAGGCCCACTCGATGTCCAGAGTGGGGGTTCCCCGAGTGCGCCCAGGGCCCTGTACTTCTGACGGCAGGAACAGGTGCAGGAGGTGCAGCTACGGCCGTGACGCGTGGCCTGGGCTCCGTCCTGTGTGACCTCCAGCCGTGTGCAGGCCTCCCCTGGGCCACCAGCGCTCAGCGGCACTCAATCACAGATGCTACTTGTGTGTGGGCCAAGAGAAGCTGATGCTGGCGGGCAGGGCCAGCTGGACAGCTGGGAGCAGCCTCTCCTACACCACCGCCCATCCTGGGGGGGACAGGACAGCGGGTACCCGGGATTTGCAGCCCACTGGATGCTCGGACCTGTCACTTAGGAGCTGGGTGGCGTCCCCATTTCTCTGAGCCTCACAGCATGGAGAGAGCCGAGGGAGCTGCCTTGTCACCACAGTGTGGAGATGGGGCACCTTGCCCAGGGCTCAGCTTGGTCCCCAACGCAGGCTCAGCCCTGCAGGGGTGCTAATGCGGGCTCTAAGGAGCCCACCTGCTAAACCGCTGCTCAATCCCACTCCCACCAAAACCAGGGAGCATCAGAAGAGCCTCCTCCCCAAGGAGTCCAAATACACATGTTGCTGGGGGTCCCAGAGCTGTGGGAAGCACCCAACCATGTCCCGCCTCCACCCTGGGACCTGGCATCTGGCACCAAATTGTTCTGTTCGAACTTCTCCTTGGAAATAGTCTAATCTGAGCCCATGTCCAGGGTCTACCAGAAACAGGTGTGGGGCGGGGCAAATGCAGGCTGGGAGGCCTGGTTCTGGCAGCCAGGGGCTGAGGGTCCACCAGGCTTGTCCCTGATGCTGCCGGGCCCCACCTGCCCTTCCCCCTGTTGCAGGAGGGAGGCTGGAGCACCATTTCCGCCTCTCCCTTCACAGAGCACGGGAAGCAATCAGCCCGAGGAAGCTGAGCAGCATTTCCTTCCTTTCACACCAGCCCCTCCGGAGGCCTTGACAACCTGGGCTGGGCCTGTGGGGACCACAGCTTCTGGGTTGTGGGCAGGAGACCCAGCAGGCCTGCTGGGACCCCCCAGGTTCCCCCGGGACCAGGGTATTCCTGGGCTGGGACGCCCTTCTATGTACATCCGCACATGCTCTGCACACACTGGGACCGACCAGGGAATGGATGAGTGAGCTCCATGGGGCAGCCCACAAGTCCCTCCCCATAGCCAAGGGGGTGTGGAAAAAGAGGAATGTCTCCTACCTTCTTCTGATCCACCTGGAACCCTGAGTCTCTCTTTTATCAAAAGGAAGCAGGCAGCCCAAAGAAAGGGGCATGGAGCTAGTGGCTTTGGGGAAGGGAGGCTTGGTTCTTGGACCTGAAATCAGAGTTGGGTGGCTGGAGTCCCCCACCAAGAATCACCCACACCATCCAGCACCGAGCCGGCCTGGTGGCGGGGCAGAGATGGGGCGGCTCCCCACTTGGCCAGCACCCCCCTCACTGAGAGTCGGCATGCACTTGCTTATTCTTTCCTCTCCATGGGTAAATCTGCTTTCAGGAAAGTGTCCAACAAACACATTCACCTTGAAGCGTCAGAGCTGTATAGAACTGTCGCAGGCGGATTCATTCTGTAAGCCAACGTGACAGTGAATCTCAGAGAGCCAAATGGAAGACTCTGGGTGGGTGTAAGTTGACCCCTCTCACCCTCTAAATCCATATAAACACTCTCACCAAGCCTGGTTTGTGTGTGTGTGTGGTCAGGGGGGCGGTAGGCACATTAGGCACATCTGGGGGTTGGGGCTGCCTCTGAGTGTTCAGGGACCAGAACATGAGCTCTGAAGTCAGACTGAGATCGTGGTTTCTCCTCAGCTGTGTGATCTTGTGGCAGCTGCTTAGTCTCTCTGAGCCTCGGGTTCTGCGGCAGCCCGGGCTGTTGGGAGGATTCACTGAGATAACACTTGGCAAGGTGACTAGCCCAAGATGGACCCAGTAAAGGACCTACTGCTCTGACGGTGGAGGACCCGAAGGAGGGACCCACGGGCCCAGCACCTTATCGGCAGGGGCCCCAGGGCCTGGACAAATACAAGGCTGGAAAATGGTGTCCTGGTTCAGTCCCAAGACCATCCTACCCATATCCAGAGGGGCACTGAAGCGGAGCTCCCTGGATGCCGTGGCCTCCTCCTTGTTCTGGAAATAGAGCAGGGCACCCTGTCTGCTCGCTGCCTGTCCCTCAGCCTGAGGACCCACGCCAGTCCCCCGGGGGCAATCAGACAAAAATCCAGTCCCCAGGAGTGTCTGTCTTCTATGACTTAGGCCAAGCCAGCCTCACCTAGGCTCAACTGTCAGAGTTTACTTATTTTGAAGAACAGGAGCCATTGCCAGGCCAGCTGGAAACTTCTGGAACTACTGCCCCTCATCACCCCATGCTAAGCGGTTGGTGGCAAGAAATGCTCCTGCCCGACCTCCAGGTCCATTCCCTGCCATGGGCCAGGCAGGGAAGTTCCTGTGGTGCCCAGTCCGGGCTGCCTGGGGGTGGCCTCTTGAAGGGAGCCTGGCACCTGGCACCTCCTTAAGCCTCACAGCTGGCCCAGCAGGTAGATAGTAGTAGGTCATTTCACAGATGGGTAACTGGGGTCCCGAGAGACCTGTCCTGGCTGAGCTGGGACTTGGATCATGTACATGACCTCCCCCAAGGTCGAGGTCCTCCTTACCTTCTGCTGGGGTCCCTGCCGGTGTCCTCAGCCTCCGCCCTCCAGACCCCAGGCGGCCTTGGGTTGTGTGGATCCGAGAGCCCGCTACCTGGGGCCTGGGCCGAGGCCCCCAGCAGCCCCCAGCCCAGGGGCCCTCCGAGGCCGAGCAGCAGTGTCAGGATCATCTTGGCAGTGGGGCAGGCTCAGCCGCAGCAAGGGACTCCACAAACTGCTGGTGAGGGTGACGTCGTCTTCAAGTTAAGTCTCAGAAGGAAAAGAAAGCACAGGGACAACAAAGAGAGGAAGTGGCCTGGGCCGGCCCACCCGGTGAGCCTCGTCCGGCCTCCCCCAGTGCCCCCCCCCCC